TCTCTCTCTCTCTCTCTCTCTCTCTCTCTCTCTTTCTCTATCTGTGTGCCCCCCCTCTCTCTCTCCCACCCCCCTCACCCTGCCTCCTTTTCCCCAACAGCTTTTAAACAAGCACAGAGACGGTGGTCGAGATCGTGTGTCGGAGGAGCTGTAAATACTCGGATTACTTCTTACGCCTTGCGAAAGGGAGCTCTTTTGTGATGTAGGTTTATCTATCTTTTCCATCGAACCCGACTCTGCTGGCCGACAACCAACATTTTTTTTTACAGCCCCAGCCAGCCCCTCCCCTCCCCCCATCTCCCACCCTCCCCTTTCCAACCCTTTCCTCCACCCCTTCTCTCCCGCCCCTTTCCTCCATCTCCCCCCACCTTCCATCCCACCCCTTTTCTCGACCCCACCCCCTTTTTCCCAATACTTTTTCTTTTAAACATACACCTCTTTCCTCAACTCCGTTCGTTTTTCTTCTTCTTCATAAGAAAGATGGATGCATGGAGGATTCAGTTTCAGTGTTGGTGGATAAGTGTATTATGTTCCTATGTCAGTGTGTAGTTTTATACTTTCCGTTTCATTGTTCTCTTCGGGTATATATTTTTATACGGTGTTTTGTGGCAAGGTATAACTGCGGTTCTGGGTAGCTCTGTTGCGCATTTGACTCTACCGTAAAACATTCGCGATTCTTCCCCATTTTTATTCACAGCTATTCGAAGCGTGGCAGATTCGAGCCATTCGAATGCTGTGGGATTGCTACGGATAATGAAATGTCTCATTTTTCTAAAGCCATCATGAGAATTAAGTATTTTTACGTGTCAAATCATTGTAATAAATACAGTGATATTTTGTGTTTTTATGGTTACGAGATAGAATGATAAATGGGGCTAACAAAAGTTACAAGACATGCCTCAAAGAATGTGTGTGGGTGGTTGGAAGGCGCCACTGGTAGGCCCTACTTCTTAAATTCCCATCTGTTGTTTCTGTCTATCTGTCTTACTTGTTCCCTGCACTAAATGACCATTATTGTGACCACCGACGTGGTTCTCTTTACTAAAACAAACAAACGAACAAACAAACAAACAAGAACGAGTTGTCACATTACTATTCTGTATTCACAAGTCACTCCATGGATGGCTCAAGGGCCCACGACTCTCGAATGTGGAAGCTCAGCAGATGGTTTTCCAAGAAATTAACTATAGGCGGGCGCGCCCCTTACCATGCGAATTTCGAAGCATTTTGAATGGTTTAGGCTTATGTGACGTTATCTAATCGCACTACATGCATGCCATCGCGTGCCCAGTGAATAGCGCTGTAAATAGTGAATCTCGAAATGCGGATGGTGCTGATGAACTTACGCTTGTTTAAGTAAAAAACAAAACAAAACAAAACAAACAACAAACAAACATACAAAACCCCAAACAAAACACCCGACCTCTCCAAATGACGGAGTCAAATGGGTGTAGAGCATAGCGCACTCCCCTAATCCTGAGTTCAGAACGCCCCCATTAGGGATTCGGTCCAGAGCCATCCGCTGCATCGTTTAATATGATACAAACTGAGCTGACGGAGCGCCCCATATTATTATGATGTTTGTATGGCCCTGTAAGTAGTTCTTTTGTTTAGTTATTATACTGGCATGCTCATTCTGCTCGATGATATCTTTAAAACAAACTATTTTTAAAAATTGAAATAAAAAATCAGAGCTAGTGGTTTGAGTGCGCTACTGGTAAGTCCAGTTTCTTTTCTTGCCCTCTCGTGTTTCAGTTTATGTCTAGTTTCCCAGCACTAAATGATCGTTATTGTGTAGACGTGCCTCCATTTCAGAAAAAACAAACAAAATCTCACCTCCACCACCACCACCACCAAGAAGAAGAAGAAGATGAAGAAGAAGGAGAACAACAACGTGAATGTGGTCTTTAACGTTCTGGCTTGTTGTAAACGGCAACTGTCTCAACAGCCCTACCTCACGGTGACGACATTACGGGCATAATATAAAAGCTTCACGCCAACTCGGTCGCTCTCAACTCTCGTCTCAATGTTACGTGCTGTAGACTTGGATGAGCTCTAGTCTAAGTGGAGACGGTTGTAATGACTTGAGCTGTAAATAGCACTTCGAGAGCTCTGCTGATACGTTTATCGGTAGACCCGATGATTATAAACGGTCTCCGGGTAGATCTATGTACTGAACTGTACCCGTAAATTTCTCACTTTCTCCCCTCTCTCTCTCTCTCTCGCTCTCTCTCTCTCTCTCGCTCTCTCTCTCTCGCTCTCTCTCTCTCGCTCTCTCTCTCTCTCTGTCCCTCTCTTTCACTCTCCTTCTCTCTGTCTCTGTGTGTGTGTCTCTCTCTCTTTCTCTCTCTCTCTGCTCTCTGTCTTTCCCTCCCCCTCTCTGTCTCTCTCTGTGCCTCTGTGTCTCTCTCTCGGCTCTCTCTTTCCCATCCCCTCCCACCCTCTCCCCCCAATCCCTCACTCACACACTCACACACACACACACACACACACACACACACTCTCTCTCTCTCACTCTCTCTCTCTGATCCCGTACCTTTAGTGAAAAAAAGGTAAAATAATGTTCACTCAGAGACCTTAGAATAGTTATATATTTGTAATATTCTTGCGTGCAGTTCGGCCAAATCAGTTTTCCACAGTGTATCGAGAATCCTTGGTAAGCTTACGATTGTTATGCAAGGGACGCTATCGTGAAATGATCGACAAAATTATGGTATTTTCTGTTATTTCCCTTCTTTTTATAAGCACGAATGTAGAGAGCATAATTTAGCTTGCACTGATTTTTTTTTTTTATTATATAAGTTAGCTCTATTGCAACGTAAAATGACTCTAATTTAGACTTACGAGTTCTTTTGCAATTTAGATATAGTTTAGGCCAAAAAGTTAGTAGAATTCGTGAACCAAGTGAGCCAATGCAATGTGTAATTAAAAATGCGAAATTCGATCAAAAAAGAATGTAGAAATCTACGAATAGGCGTTGTTGTGTAAGTGTTCTACTTTCGCTTTTGTGTAACATAATAATAGCAGTGAATAGCTGCATACGAAGTACGAAGTACGAAGTACGAAGTCACTGGCTCTGTGGTGTCATAGCCTAAAGCAGATAAGGTGATATGCGATAACATAAATAGTTGCGTGTATATAATTATGCTGACTCACTTGTGATTTTTCTGCCCATGGTAGCGGGAGGTAAGATTACTCAGACTGAGATTAGCATTTAGCATAAACAAGCCTACCGCTAGCGCACTGCTACTGCTATCTCCGGTCTGTAGCTAACTTCTAATCTAATTTTCACTCTCAATCACAACTGCGAAACACGATAAGTTTTGGGGGGGTTTTCGGTACAAGTCAGGGCGTCTCTTTGCTCATTCATCTCATTGCTAAGGATAGTTTGGGCTTCTTATTAATATTGAGACTATGACCAGGTACTGTACATAGCCTACTATAGATAGATCTAGATTTCAATGAAATGCACGCAAGAAAAATGAACTAGAAGATTGCTCTCCTGCCTGCAAACATCTTCTTCTTCTTCCTCTTCTTTCTTCCCCGACTCGCTTTCTCTCATGTCAAGTGTATCTCTTTGTAAATAGCTGGCCTAGTTCTCGTAACTAGCATTGATTACTTAATTACATTACTACTCGAACCTTTTTGGCTCGCCATTAAAAATCTGAGGGTTTAGGACTCAAAGTCCTCCATTTCGGATTATAAGAAAAATAAAGCAATGGTATTTTTTAAATTAATGTGGTTTGTGATGCTTGTAATACAAGTTACTTAGTAGGGAATAATTAGAATAATAATGGTCAGGTGCAAGGACTAGTTTTTAAGTTGTCCGTGGTCAGGTGTCAAAGTGAAACTAAGGTAAGTCCTAAAATAAAAATAGTGAGGTATATTTAAATGAAAATTGTACACTGCATTCATAGAGAAATGTTTATATTTTCTATATGTATGGATATACAGTCAAACCTGCTGCCACCTCTATAAGACGGCCACCTGTACAAGCGGCAACTTTCCCTAATTTCCCCCCTTGCGTTTTTTCTATATAACATCAGCCTGGTGATAAAACCGGCTAACCCACAAAATGTCCCAAAAAATTTTATTGGCCCTATCGATAGCAAATTGTCCATTTCATATGCTCACTTATAGTCAG